GGCTGCGCGCTGCGGCCGCCCCTTGCCGCCGTGTCCCAGCCGCCCCGACTCGCTTACTGCTGCCGGTGATGCGAACAAACAAACAAACCACGGGGAAAAAATATTTAAAAAAAAAAGGCAAAAAAAAAAGCGCCCCAAACCCAACCCTGCAAAACCAGAGTGATGGCTTCTCTGCAAAACCAGAGTGATGGTTTCGACTGATGCTCACAGTCCTGAGGCGCTAGGCGCAGGGGTGACCCGCATATTTTTATTATTTTTTTCCCTCCTTAAAGGCATTTGTCAGATTCTGTATGAAAAAATGCGTCTGACCCTGCCACATGCAAATAATGTGAACCTGCTATCCTCTCATCTGATACCAAAACAAAGGAAGCAGAGGCTCGCTACGGCTACCCAGCATTGTACACAGCACACAGGAAGGTTTTTTTCATGAACTTACACTGGGTATATTATCGTTGGTACAGACCCCCTCTGATAGTAATCTGTCTCGAATCTCCCACGCAAAGATGGAGGGGCACTCTCGTTTATACTGCGCTATTTTGCTTACAACTTCTGGAGTCGCTACTCTTGGTTTACTACCTCCGATTGCCCTGGGTCTGATGGAGCCAGTTTCGTAATACCTGCCCAAAATTTTACTCACACATCCATTCGACACCTGGATAGGGAAGCGGACAGAAAATCACATTATTAATAATTTCAAGACAAAAATAAAATTGTTTAAGTATGCATTAAACAATGACAAGCTTACGTTTTGATTGTCCAGCACTTGGACTTTTGCATCTGCATGGGTCTATAACACAAAAATATACCTTAAATGGTATGAGAACTTACTTAGAGAGTCTTTTTTTTTTCTTTAAAAAAATTACATTCGTGGCCCTACCCTCTACAAAAGTGATACTTTAAAAACATCTGGAAGAAAAAAAATCTGGTCAAAACGTGATTCTTTTAGCATTAATGTTAAAATACGCCTTAAATGCGAACAATAGCTAAGCCAGACTAGTCTTCATCGTCCTCACTGCTCTCACACAGAGTACTTGTGGGGGACAGGGTGAGTGAGGGGTTATCAAGACCTACATTTACAATGTACCCCTGAGCTGCGCCAGATCGCGTTAGTGTCCGTAAAGACAGATTCAGGGCTAAAATAGCGTGGTTTCGAGGGAGTTTCTTTATTTTCTTTCCTTCTCTTTTTTTTTCGCTTTTCGGAAGGAAAAAAAGGTAAAAATAAAAAAGCAGTAAGCCACGCCAAATGCATACAAATCTCACAAAATCATAAGTAAATATGGGGGGAAAGGGGGAAGGGGAGGAAACTGAAATTATGCCGAGTCGTATAATTCAGTTTATTACAGCAAACTAACTGTAACGAGAGTGCAGGTTATCACCGGACGGAAATAAAGGGGAACAAAAATAAATTCTTTTTAAAGTTTTTTAAAGACATATATATATTCGCGTAGAAAAGTCTATTTGCAGAAACAATCAAGATAAGCAGATGGATCGTTTTATTAGGCTGGGAGGCGGGTGGTGGTGGCAGTGATGGGTGGGTGAGTGGGT